TGGGTTAAAGCCATGCAAGAAGAGATAAAATCCTTGGTTGAGAACCACACCTATGACTTGATAAAATTGTCTAAAGAGAAGAAAGCTCTCAAGAATAAGTGGGTTTACAAATTGAAGACTAAAAACAATAGCTCACAACAAAGATACAAGGCACGACTAGTTGTGAAAGGATTCAATCAGAAGAAAGGTATTGGCTTTGAAGAAATATTTTCTCCAGTTGTGAAAATATCCTCTATCCGAGTTGTTCTTGGTTTGGCTGCCCGCTTGAATTTAGATGTTGAGCAACTTGATGTGAAAACAGCATTTCTTCATGGTGACTTAGAAGAAGAAATTTACATGAAGCAACCAGAAGGTTTCAAAGTCAAGGGAAAAGAAAATATGGTGTGCAAGCTTAGGAAAAGCTTATATGGACTCAAACAGGCACCTAAACAGTGGTATAAGAAGTTTGATTCCTTTATGATGAGCCAAGGGTATGATAGAACCACATCTGATCATTGTGTGTTTATGAAGAAATTTTCAGATGATGATTTTATTATTTTACTATTATATGTTGATGATATGCTGATTGTTGATCATTATGCTAGAAAAATTAAAAAGCTTAAAAGAGAGCTAAGTAATTCTTTTGCCATGAAAGACTTAGGATCGGTGAAACAAATACTTGGCATGAAGATTCTTCGTGATAGGAAGAAAAGGAAGATTTGGCTATCTCAGGAGCCTTATATTGAAAAGGTTCTTGAAAGAATCAATATGAGTAAAGCCAAAGCAGTTTGTTCTCCACTTGTAGGTCATTTCAAACTTAGTTTGAAACAATATCCTACAAGTGAGAAAGAAAAAGAAAAAATGTTCAAAGTGTCTTACTCATCTGTAGTAGGCAGTTTGATGTATGCTATGGTTTGTACTAGGCCAGATATAGCTCATGCAGTTGGAGTTGTCAGCCGATTTCTCTCTAATCTTAGAAAGGAACATTAGGTAGTAGTGAAATGAATATTAAGATATCTAAGAGGTACTTCCAGGTTATGTTTATGTTTTGGTAATGATGAACCTGTGTTAGAAGGGTATACAGATGTAGATATAGCAGGTGATACTGATTCTAGGAAGTCTACTTCGGGGTTCTTGATGACATTTGCTGGGGGAGCAGTCTCTTGGCAATCAAAGTTACAGAATTGTATTGCTTTATCAACCACGGAAGCATAATACATAGCAATTACTGAAGCCTGCAAGGAAGCTTTATGGATGAAAAAGTTTCTACAGGAATTAGGCTTGAAACAAGAAAGATATACTGTTTATTGTGATAGTCAGAGTATCATTCATCTCTCTAAGAATTCAACGTACCATTCTAGATCCAAGCATATTGATGTGAGATATCATTGGATTCGTGATGTGCTTGAGATGAAAGAATTACAGTTGAAAAAAATATATACCAATGATAATGGTTCAGATATGTTGATAAAGTCTTTGCCTAAGGAGAAGTTTGAAGCATGTAGGCGAAGAGAGGGTTTAATACAGCCCATCATATGAGTTGGAGGGGGAGAATTGTTGGGTCCAACCCATATGTGGGCTTGGACAATTGGGCCTATTAAGCCCAAATCATTAATTAAAAGGTAAAATAGTTAAGGGCAGCAAACAAGAGGAAGTGAGCATGCAGCTAGCGACGGTGCAGAGAGAGAGAGAAGAAGAGAGAAAGATTATGTTTCTGAGTTTTCTGCCTGACGATCGGCGGTCAAACGTTGTCAGTTTTGGCCCAAAATTTATGTGAAGAATCCTTGCAGTAGACTCTACAATCCTAATGGTGTTGATTTACAGTTTACCTTCTCTGAGGTACTTTCCTGCTATACCCACTTTGTGAGACCTAGAATTCTCTTTTCAGGAGATTCATCCTATATGATGATATGCTAGAGCCAAGATCTATGTTCTTGATGTTATTGTGATCCTCTAATTATTCTAGAGAAGATCTATTGTAAACCTATTATCATTACTATTGATAGTGGAAGTTTGAGGTGGACTACGGTCCCATGGTTTTTTTCACATTGGGTTTTTCACGTTAAAAGATTTGATCTCACTGTGTGATTGATTTTTTGCTCTATTGTTTATATTGTGCTGGTTGATATTTTCATTTGGATATCAAGTTAATATTTTGATGAGGACCATTTTGATACACAATGAGGAGGGAAAAGTATACTCCGTTTTAATAAGTTTTTTCTCAACGGTTACCAAATATAATAAAAATTAATATGTTAATCTGAGTTGAGAGAGAAAGAGAGAGAGAGAGAGAGAGAGAGATCACCAACCTTCTTTTTGAATCCTAAGCTACGAGCAGTCTTTAGCTACAACAGAGTCTCCAACCACTAGTTTTGCCAAGGTTGACATCAAAGAGAACAGTATCAGATTCCCCACCCACCGACAAATGCTATCCACCTTAGAATTCAATGCATCAGTGAGGAATAAAGTCCTCTGACTCAACCCTTTTCTTCATTCCTTCAACTTCGATTCTGGAAAAAGTTCGCTGGAACTCAGAAAAAGTTTATTCTTTTGTTGATGATTTCCAAACCTTCATATGCTCTCACCTATTATTAAGTCCAATCTGCCTCATTCATTTATTTTATTATGTTCAAACTGATAACTTTAAACTCAAATTTATTATATCACACTCATATAATCCTTTTAAATTTTGATATGGGAGTCTCTCTCTCTCTTTCGTATTTAAGAGCTTGACATCCTCATAAAAAAAAAATATTTTCTAAAATCAAACATACGTGAGTTATGATTTCATATGCCCAGTAATTTATTTTTCGAGTCTCTCTTATTATCCTCACATCTAATACTGTTTGTCATCTTATGAGTGGGTGAAATAATTAACTTATGATTATTATTGAGCCTGAATCATTGGTCTAGAATTATATAAATCGGAATTGACAATAACTTTGATTTGAGACTAAATAGGATGTCGCTAATCTATCGATAATGAAAATAGATCATCTACAAACCAAAAGATATTTCTAAATATTGTCAATCTGTAAATGAAACTTGATTAGATGGTCCATTCTTGTTTCTACAGTAAAAGAAACAAAAGACTAATCGGAGAAGACACAGGGTCGGTCTCACCAATGCAGCCTAACGTCTCAAGAGCAGCAGCCTTCGTAAGTGCAAGTGATCTCCCAATGTGACTGATGTATGAATCTTTCCTTGTTGATTTTTGTTTATAAATTGCATAATAACAATCATTTATATATATATATAATCTCAACTGGAAGGTGAGGAATTCTTTTCAACAAGTACATAGAAATGTATTTAACGAGACAGGGATGGGAGCACAGCAGCATCTTCCACTGTCAAATCAACATAACAACATTAGAAAAAGGGAGATATATTCCTGCTGCTTTTTTCCCAAATGAAAAAGAGGGATTCTATCAACTTTGTCAATCTTCGATCGCGTGGGCATATGCTTCGATGACTGTTCAAGAGAACAAATGAGGAAATGATCAGCAGTCGATACAACATTCTGAGAGAATGATTGCAGTGCAAACGATATGCTCCTTAATGACCCACAGATATGGCAAATCTCATGATGACAGGCCATTTCTCATTTCTGCTGCTCATGCCAAGTGAATCATATCCCATCTTACCTATTAACTGTGTCAGATTTGAAATGGTGGAGAAGAGCGTCAGGTGTTGTACTTGATGAAATCCTGCCTGGCCTGATTAATAATTGGCAATAGGCAGTAGCAGACTGTGTACTGCACAATACTAAAAGCGAGACTAAGGTATAAATGCATGCATGGCCTTTGATGTTCCTTAAATGACATGGTTTTTTTGGAGTTGGCAGTATGGATACATCTGATATAGAAAAAAAAGTCGATGAAGTTGCCAATCAATTTATGTATGTTTTGCTGAATGTTACGAAGAATGTCTCCTCCATGTGATCTATGATGCATGAGCTGAAAAGAAACATGGAACATTACAGGATGATGGATGACCGCAACACGTCGAGATCCAGAATTTCTAATTATGTTCAGTCATATCGATGATAATGAGAACGTCTTGAAATATGTTAAAACAAACCTATTGAAAAGAATAAAAGATAAGAATAATTATTAAAGAAGCTTTATTAAAGTAGCTTTAGCTTGAATACATTAACATATCCCTCTCCTACATGAAGATTAATCTTTAGCTCATCTTCACATATGAATTTTATGCACCAAACTTTAGTTTCTGTCGTAAACCAGCTCGAGGAGATCATTGATTGTTCTTCGTACGCTCTTCTCCTTTGTCTTTGATCCCAACCTCAACAAATGGCTGAAAGTGAAGAGGGATTAATGCCAATGGATAACATCTGAATTCCCCTATCTCCTTTTCCTCTGGTGATAGATGAACAAATACCATGCCTAGCAAGGAGACAAAAGGGAATCACATGCTTATTCCATATTCCATGAGAAGCAGCACCATGCACAGCAGAGTTGTTGTTCTTGACAGGCAGTATGTATCTAATATTCTGCTGCTTTCTTGCCGCAATGAGTCGACCAGACTTCTCAGACTCGTGTCATCGATCAGCTGTTATGAGAAGCATCTGCGGATTGAATCCATCTCTCGCAACAAGTACAAACTCACCAATCAAGCTTAGTTCCTCCTCACAACAGTTGAGGAATCTAAAGTTTGCAGCTCCTGAAAGCATTAGAGAACATGATGTCTCTTTAGGTCCAAAATTCTCTTGGCAAGCATGAGGTTCTTCCTTTTTCTTTAATCCATCTTTCGCAAAAGAGAATGGATATCGACGGATCGATTCGCCTGCGCATGGGACAAGCTAAAGTTGTTCCCACAAAGAAAGTTGCTGTTATTGATGCTGCCGCAGAATCTTTAGTCCATCAGAGAAGTGAGAACAAAAGTCGCAGGAGATGATGGTCCAGCGGCAAAACAGGATGTCTCTTTTCGAGTTTTTGGTGCCAAGATTGGATCGGCGAAACCACTTTTGTTCCAATGATTCCGTATTCTCTTTTGCATCTGCCTTATAAAGGGCGAGCCATGGTCATCACTAACCAGCAAGAGGAGCAGCTCATGAAGCAATTGGTTTCCGAGATGGACAATTCTTCTCCTTAGATCAAGGAAAAGAAAGGTAAGAAGGAACGATGGCGGAGAAGTTTGAATCATCATCATCTACCTTTTTCTCTTGAATTCTCACTGTGCGATACTGCTTTTGACATGCAGAAGATGTATCATCATCAGCATCATCACCAGGGACACAACAACATTCTTTCTTGTAGGACTGCGTTTCCTGCAGAGAAGCATTTGTTGCTGCAAGGAGGAAGTATCCCAGAAGATTCAGGACTGGTTCTATCGACTGATGCCAAGCCCAGGTTGAAGTGGACAGCCGAGCTCCATGAAAGATTCATAGAGGCAGTCAATCAACTTGGTGGAGCAGATAGTGAGTATATCATCATCATCATCATCATCATCAACAACAACAAGAACAACAACAACAACAACAACAACAAAAAAGAAGGCAGAATTCAACATAAACGTTCTCATCCGATGGCAAATGCATGTTGCATTCTGGGCTAAATTTAAGCTCATCGTTTTGCAGAGGCTACACCCAAGTCGGTCATGAGGCTCATGGGCATTCCTGGACTAACTCTCTATCACCTGAAAAGCCATCTTCAGGTCCTGATCGAATTCTTCTCCTTCTTCTTCTTCTTTCTTTCTTGTTTCCTTTCTGTAACATTGGGAGATTGAGTTGTCGTTGTGGTATTGCAGAAGTACAGGCTCAGCAAGAATCTCCAAGCTCAAGCAAATGGAGCCGAGAGTGGTAAGAAGCAGCATCCGACTTTGAGTTGTCAGAGCAGGAAGAAAAGAAATGCAAGCTAAGACTTGTTATCTTACAGTTATAGGTTGTAAGCTTGCAGCAGAGAGAACAAGCGAGGGCAACGGATCACGAGCGAGCAACACAAACATCATTCCCCAGTCAAACAAGTAAGACAACAGCAACATGCAATGTAATAACCATCGAGTGGAATAGATTGTTTACTGACGTGAGCTTAATTGCAGAACATATCCGATAAATGAAGCACTTCAAATGCAAATTGAAGTCCAAAGAAGGCTACAAGAACAACTTGAGGTAAGGACTGGTCAACATATGTCTATAGATCTGAGATAAGCATGCATCAACCACTACACACTGTTGAAAGAGAACATACGGATTACTACTCATTACTGTGTGATTAAACAAGTGCCAGACCACCAATTTGAAAGCTGCAAATAAATTAGCTTTGATGAGATATTTGTTGGATGTGCATCATACTTCAAACACCAGCTTCTCTATAGAAGCATGGAATACACGAGAGAACGAGTCGGATTGGGATTGGGATTGGTATTCCTCTGTGAGAGAGAGAGAGAGAGAGAGAGAGAGAGATCTGACACCAATGTAAACAAACAGGTTAGACAATTAACTCAAAAACTGGTAAAGCTAAACAAAAGCAAACAAATAATATATCTCGAATAAACTTCAAGAAAGAAAAGATTCAGGAAGTCGCTTAAGTCCTTTTTGTTCCTTTCTCTGTTCATCATCCTTATAGTTTGGTGCTGTTACATGATGAGTGATTGATGCATGCGATCGCAAAATGGATCCGTGACAGGTTCAAAGGCACCTGCAACTAAGAATAGAAGCACAGGGGAAGTACTTGCAGTCTGTCCTGGAGAAGGCTCAAGAGACACTTGGGAAGCAGCATTTGGGGACTCCAGGACTAGAAGCTGCCAAAGTTCATCTCTCTCAACTGGTCTTCAAAGTCTCAAATGAATGTTTCAGCAATGCATTGACAGGTCTGGAAGAAATCCCAGCCCCGAATACCCTACAAGTGCATCCACCCCAACTTGCTGACTTCTCGGTACAAAGTTGCTTGACATCATCTCAGGGATCACAAAAGGATCTTGACATGGCCAATTTCCGCAGAAGTTTGAGAGCCTACATGCATGAGAATGCCAGGCTTGAAGGTTCCCAATCTGCATGGTGCTACCTGAATGAGCACAAGACTTTTCCCTCATCCATGTTTGGGGATTCAGAAAGGACATCTTTCAAAGTAGAAGATTTTGTGTCACCACTTCCCGTGAGGCCTCGGGTGGAAAGAGAAGGGGAAGCTGGTTCTGATGCCCAGCAAACGGAAAGAAGTGACCCGAATGGCAAGAGAACAGCAGAACAACAGGAGAGAGGAAAGCAATCAGACAGTTTTGGGCTGGCTGGTCACACAGCACAACTAGATCTCAATGCTGATGAAGACGATGAGGGTGCTACGAACAGCAAATTTGACCTGAACGGCTTCAGTTGGAGCTGATTTGCGGCAAGCATTATGAAGGCATAAGAACACTGTACATACTGAAATTGTTAGCTCGCTCGCTCTCTCTCTCTCTCTCTCTCTCTCTCTCTTCTCCTTGATCATCACAGGTAACCAAAACAAGTATTGGCTACAACATTAAAGTGATTCCAAAAGACAGTCTGCAGGAGATGAAGCTAAGAAGAATGCATCTACAACAAACAAGTTTCCAGGAGAATGTTACTGAGAGCATCATGTTCTCAGATCTATGATACCAATGTCACCGGCAGTCACAAGAAATCCACAGTTCAGTACCATCATAAATAATACAAATTACACAAAATAGAGATCTTGTTTCGAGCATATGGAAGAACAAGTTCTGGGGGTTAATCCCTTTTAGTTACCCCACTGCCACAGACATGGCAGGTTAATCCCTACTTCAGAGTGGTCATGAGTTTGGTGCATTAATAAGGAGGGCAGGGGAGTCGTACTTACAGTTTTGCCTTACGAGATGGTGGTCTTGCCTTCCCAAGTCATCATCCCTACTCGGAGAACCGAGGGCTATAACTCAATATCCTTATCAAAGAAGTCCAACTTAAGACTAACTAACTCGATAGAGAAAAGATTTCCTTTAATAGAATAGAGGATTTTCCTCATGCTTCCACAAAATAGTGCTCGATACCAATCTTGGATTGATGCAAAGAATAGTTTACAAGCGAGAGACTTCGTGAGTAGAGCAAGAGCATATCGCTGCTATTGTTGCGATTGCTGTTGTTGTGAGGGGGCATAGGCATTCCCTTCATTCTCCTTAAGTCCACCGACTATTGACAGATCAGCGAAGGCAGCGAAAGCTACCGCGGTGAAGAAGATGAGGATTGATCGTGGAGCCTCTTAGGAATGTGGCTGCAGCGACGTTGGTCGCTAGCCGAAGACAAGGTCGAAGCTTCGCTTTTCTCAACGACGTTGGTCGTTGGCCAAAGGTAAGAGCGAAACTTCGCTTTTCTCACTGTTCTGATACCATGATGAAAAGAATAGAAGATAAGAATAATTACCGAAGAAGTTTTATTGAAGAAATGAAAAATACCTCAATACATTAACATGTTCCCTATCTATCTAACTTGAATCACCCCTGACACATCAAGATAACTCACAGCTACGGTAAGTACTATTAAATCAGGCTGACTACAGAAGGTTAAATTCATACCCGACCTGAAAGAAAATGATGCTATGAACCACCTCCCTCTCGGTCACTTGGACACCTTCATCTCAGGCGGAGTAGAGAAGCTTATCATCAAACTCCTCTCTATTATTTCGACTTTGATGTTTTCTTCTAGATATTTCTGGCCGAAGCACTCTTCCAGCTCTGGGTTAGGGTAGTGACTTGATTCGATTTATTGCCACATCATACCCGTACACGTCGACACTCGATCCAATGCTACTTGACTTCTTTTACTCTTCCATCACCTCAGCCACGCAGTTCAACACAAGCATCCTCAGCTAACGAGTCAATAGCTATACACAACAATGATATTGTTGAGAGGGAGAGAAGAAACTCAAAACAAAAGAACAAAAAAAACTTAATAGATTAATAATAATAAAATATATCAGAAAATCAACATAAAATAAAATTTAATGTTATTTGATAAATTTAACTTATGTCGATGAACAAAAACTAAAGTATGAATTCTCTTTGATCCTCGAATAATTTATATTTATTTTTCATCGAGAATATCTTTATAGATACCATAGAAAGAAATTTAAAAGCACTAAAAGTATTTTTTACATTTTTTTCTCCATGAAAATCTAGAGATACATGAGATATTTATATAAGAACTAAACCCTAATTACTATGGTTTTCTTTTTTCACCCGAACTCTTTGTATTATGATTCCTTATTTCATCCGAACACCGGCTCGAGGAATTCTAAAATATTTATCTATCTGAACAATTTCTAAAATACTTATCTATCTCAACAATTTCTCTGATTATTTTATTAACTTTTATGCTTGTTGAAGAGAAAGTACTTTTGTTTATGCTCTTTTCAATCTTCATCACTCGTACCATTTCTTTCTTAGGAGGGAGAGAAGAAATATAAAATCAAAATAAAATACCTTAAGATTGATAATAAAATATATACTAGAAAGCCAACATAAGATTTAACATGGTTCGACAAATCCTACCTACATCCATAGAGAAAAATAAAATTATTAAATATCTATGAGATTAATTACAAGACCTTGAGTTATCCTCACTCAAGTATAAATTATTATTATTTAATAAATCATGAAGAATTTATATCATTTTTTTCACTCTCTAGAAACCCTAGAGAGAAACCTATGAATATAAAAAATATTCATCACATCTTTCTTTCTCCCGCATCAAAATCTAGAGATACATATGATATTATATAAGAATCAAACCCTGTCTAGATTTTCTTTTCTTACAAATGTATTAGAATTCTTGAGATACTAATTTCAAGAAAAACCTAAAATACTTATTAATCCCATAAATAATACAAACCAATTGTACAAGAGCAGGACAAGATCTTGAATAGTCTCTCAACTGAACAAACTCATAATTAAATTCAGGATCAGATGTATGAATCAATCATAATCGAAGCCTCAAACTTCCCTATTGATAAAAGATATGTTTTGTTGATATTTATTGATATGTTCTCCATATTTATATAGGTTAGGAGGGAGAAATTTTCTTAATAAAGCAATGAGATTTTCTCATGCAGTTAGGGAAATCTTATCTGCTATCATGCTTTAGTAAGATGTTGCTCATATCAAGGATATCAATCTTGGACTGATGTAATAAAAAAAGTTTATGGGTGAAAGGCTTCATGAGTGAGTCTGCTAGTTGATCAACCGTATATACATGAGAAACACGTGGTTGATGTCAGATAACTTGATCTCGTACGAAGTGAAAGTAGATGACAATATGTTTCATGCATGAGTGGAACACTAGATTGGTACATAGGTAGGTAGCTCCAACAGTATCACAATATATTATAGAAGTAAGAGTGGAGTCGATGTTGAGTTCCTTGAGTAGATTTATGACCTAATTGAGTTATGCAATAACGATAGCGATGGCATGGTATTCAACTTCAATTGTGGACATTACGATTATCTTTTGCTTCTCAGAACTTCAACTAATTGGATTAGCTCCAAGGAAGATAATATACACCGACGTGGATGTTCTATCATCAAAATTTCCTACCCAATCAATATCGAAGAAAGAGGACCTTATTGGGGGTCCCTTTAAGATATTGTATAATTCGTTTAACTACAAAACAATGCATAGTAGATAGTTGATGCATGAATTATGATAATTTATTAATCGTAAATGAGATGTTTAGATGGGTGAGAGCTAAGTACTATAAGGAGCCAACTACTTATCGGTATTGAGTGGGTTCCATAGTAGGACTCCCATCACATAATTTGAGTGATTCACTAGTAGAGAGGGGGGTTGTAACCTCTTTTGCATCATGTATGTTTGTTTTTGATAATAAATTTTCAATGTACTTTCTTTGTGATAGGAATAGACTTGAAGATGTATATGCTGCTACCACTCTCAAAAAGCAGTTCAAGGTTCCTAGATTTTTGAGGGAGAATCAATATGCTAATTGCTTGATAAATACTTGGATCTCTATATAATTATTAGCCATGATAATAATGTCATCCACATACACGATATATTGTGCCTCCATATTGTCATCGTAGAAATAATGAGGCATTAGACTTGGAGTTGATAAAGTTAGTTGAAGTAAAAAATGAGCCAAGTTCGGTGTACTAGGCTCTTGGTGTTGAATCTCAGATTTTGATAATAAAATCAATTAATGAGTTTGTGATCTAATCTACGTTTTGAGTGACGCAGGACTAGCTTTAATTAATGAGAGACAAATTGATTAAAGCAGGAGGAATCAGACGTTGGGCCGGAGTGAACATGTTAGAAGATTAGATATCGAGTTAGAGGATCAGTCGACGTATCGGCAGAAGGCTTCGTGCCATGAGTTCGGGCATCAGGCCAAGAAGATTGAACATTGCGCCTATTGAATCTCATATTTTGATGATGAAACCAATTGATAATTGTGTTTATGTTTTAATCTGCATTTTGAGTGAGGCAGGATGCTTCGATCAGAATGAGATAATTAAAGCAGGAAAAATCATGTTGGGCTGGAGGAACATGTCAGAAGATTGGACGTCGGGCCGGTGGATCGGTCGACGTATCGACAAAAGGCTTCGGGCCGTGGACTCGGGCATCGGGCCAAGAAGAGCGGGTATTGTGCCAAGGATATCGGAGTTGTGGAGTTAACTGGCTGATCGGGCAATAGGCCGCAGGAGAGGATGATGCGCCGAAGAATCGGACGAAGCGTCGAGGGACCAATGACACGCTGGACAACTTGGTTAATTGCTTAGGATTAATTGTCTCGATCAAAGTTTTGTTTTATATGTGCAGGATTAACTACGATGGAAGTAAGACATGCAGCAAGAGTTGCGCTAGAGTCAAGACTATGATCACGTTGGGGGTTCGAGAGTTCAACGGAAGTCCGGACGGTCGTCGCAGGTTCTACGGGAACAAATCCGAGAAGTCCAGGAGCTTGCCAAAGAAACTCATTGGATCTCACCAAGTGGATCATTGCAAGTCCAGGAGTTTGCCGGAAGTCCACCGGAGTATCGTCGAAGGTTCGTCGGATGTTCGCCGGAAGCTCGCCGGAAGAAACGATTGACGCACCGGAGCAAGTTGCAGTAAATGTCTTAAGAAATATCGTAGTTAGCACGATGATTAAGTTAGAAATGGGAGGTGATCCCATTAACTTAATCTTGGGGCAATTGGGCCCTTGACAGACTTAGATTGGGCCGAATGGATCAGCCTATTCGAACCCAGATTTTCTAGCCAACGGTGGCACCGCTTGGGTCAACGATGGCACCGCCTAGGAGCTCGGTCTCTGAGCTCTGCCAGGCGGTTGAACCGCCCTAGTCAGGCGGTGGCACCGCTTGAGCTCGGTCTCCGAGCTCTGCCAAGAGGTGCAACCGCCCCTGTTAGGCGGTGGCACCGCCAGAGCTCGGTCTCCGAGCTCTGTCAAGCAGTTGTACCGCCCCTATCAGGCCGTTGTACCGCCCTAGTCAGGAGGTAGTACCGCCAGGACCCCAGAAATCCGAGAAAAGACATTTTTGAGCTCCAAATTCAAACCAGTTTGGGGCCTATATATACCCCACCCTTTCCTGCATGAAAGGGCACTGAAAGCTTGATCTTACTCTGTGATTTTAGAGCTCAAAAGTGTTGTAAAAGCTGGAAGTTCTCCTCCCTCTTTTCTTCCAAGTTTTGATCTTTTAAGAGAGGAGAGAAAATTCTGTAAGGGTTGTCTTCTAAGCCCGTCAAAAGGAGTGAAACTATAAAA